TGTTAAATACACAACAGAAAACTTTGTCTTTTTGCTGCAGTAGCCGCTACGTTTCAGCCTACTATGCAATTTTATAAAACTGTTCACTTCAAATGTTAAGATTTTCAACACAATGTATTTAACAGACAACTTCACATATACATTTATTTTTAATAAATAAACATATGTTTGCAACTTCACTGAATATGTTTATAATTATTTAGCCGTTTGTAGGCATTGATTAAATGCAAATAAGTTCATTAACCTTTTAATCGTACAGTCATTCAGATGTAATTCTATGAATTACCCTCTCGTCTGAAGAGGAAGAAAAAAAACTTCAACATGTGTAAGAGTCTCTCTTGTTTCAGATGTAAGAAATCCACCAAAAAGAGCTCAAATCAGAGTGAGATGATCATGAAGGATCACGAGACGGAAACATCCAGAAGAAGTACCGACGGTAAATGATGTGTGCTAGCTCACATGCTAGCTCCTGCTAGCCCTGAGAAAATCAAATCCTACATGACAAAGTCACTTCATTTAAAACTAAATGAGTAACGGCAAATTTTCTGCCCCTTTAGGGTGGTTTTAAATAGGGGTGTAACAATACATCCTGCCACAATATATCGCAATACAAAAATCCAACAATAAGTAGGCTATCGTGGATGACAATATGTATCGTGGATAGTCCACCCAAAATAAAAATGATGACTGTGAGAAAAAGTTTTTAGAATTTTAGTGTCAGTAGCCTACTACATTAAACTACTATGTTGATTATAATGTACAAAAATGCAATGGGGGAATATAGGCCTATGTGGGTCCTCCTGATAATGCCAACTTTCTTATGTTACCAGTAAAAAGTGGCCTACAATTCTCTACAGTGAATTTAGATGTCCACAGATTGCTGCGAATTGATCTCTCTGCAGCAGAAGTCAGAGCATCGGCTTGATCTGACAAGATCATTCAAACAAATGGTTTTCTTTGCATGATCTGTTAATATAACATATATTCCTGTTTTTTCTTTTATAAAAAGTCTTACTTTTCATAAACTTTACCTTTATTGTAAGCAGCGCTCTCCTCTGTCCCCTGAACGAGCACTGTCTGTGAACCAGCGGTCGACTTCCTGATTCTATGAAACCACTCCCTCAGAAACAGGCAGTGGGCTCAGATTGGTTAGTTTGGGCTGGTGTGTGATGATTGGCTAAACTGTCGCTCACGTTGTCCGGATACTTCACGCCCATTTACCTTTACGGGCGAAACGTGCCTGCGCACAGATGTAAATAATGGTGTGAACTGCAGTATCAGTTTTCAGGCAGAATCAGACTGAGAAAGCGGCGATGAAAGAGTCAAGCAGAACCTCACCACACGGCTCTTACTAAACGTTTCTGAATGATAATTTGCTAATTTTTTTAACTTTATACACGTTTGCTTAACACAATAGCATCTGACTGGCAACAATAGCAAGTGATTGGCTACTATAATGTTAAACACAAACAGCGTTACATTGGTTTACGGTCTTGATCAAATCGAAAATAACATCATAAAGCATATATACATGAAAAATACATTTAAAACATTAGTACTATTACAAAATTCAGGTCCATAATGTTTGTACACGTTTGTCGTAGACACAAAATAGCATAACTATTAGCCGAGTGGCTATATAAAGCCAGCGCTGGCATTTGAAAAAAATAAAACACAAGGCTACGTCTGAAATTGAAGAGTTCAGATGCAAAAGCCTCTAAGTGCCATTTGAAATTTTCTTCTATAATAATCATTTTTTATCAAGCAATATATTCAAGTTCAGTAATTTCACTTAAATGACAATTAATAGGTAATCTTGATTGCAATTTAAGTGAAATCACTGAACTTAAATATACAAGCTTGATAAAAATGATCATTCTAGAAGAAAATTTCAAATTGGACTTAGAGGCTTTTGCATCTGAACTCTTCAATTATATGCAAATACATTTAAAATGATGAAGTCTTAGCCTACTTACAGGTTGTGGCCCAACAACTGCTGCCTCTGGTTTTAAAGTTGGAACTGCTTCATGTTTTAGTAACAGTTTCTTGTTGAATCCGGTGTTGAATTCGTGGAGATTCTGGAAGCTGTCTTGCGTAAAATGCGCAGCACAGAGAGCTAAATTACGATCGTCATTTTCAGGAAATTGTATCCATTGTTGACGAAGTACAGCGTCCGTGGGAAGCCCGAACACAGAAGACCTGACAGCTGGTTGAACACAACACACTCGACAGCTGCAGAAATATGCGCATGCCCTTTTTTGCATTTTCCGGAGGGAGGGGTTGATGCAAATGTACGGGTTAGTGACGTCTAAAACCCAGCTGTAGTCCCAATCGAGTCGTTTTTGTAGGCAATATACTTCCTGATTTTTAAAGGATGATATCTCTGCTTACACTTAACTTTCAGCGCTGCAACTTTGCAGATACTGTTCATGCACCAACAGAAACATTACACACTATTTAAAATGAAAAAAGTGAAATCGCAATCAACCCCCGCCCCCTTTTAGATGTAGGCCTATTTTGAAAATCTCACCTGGTCTAAGTGTAATGAACTGGAACTTTTCTCACGTGTTCTTAGTGTAATTAATTTTTTCAATAAAACTCATTCGTGTTTTATTTGTTCCAGGTGTGAGATCAGTCACAGTCCAGAAGCGTGTGTTCAGCCGTGTGTCCGGCGGACTGAATTGACTGGACTTTAGCCATCATCCGCTTTAGCCTCTTGCATCTTGGCTTGTAGCAGCAACATTAGCATCTGACGCTATTGCTTTCAGAAGGATGTGGAAATAAATCATTGTACTTTTGTAAATACAAAGAGCAGTGGCGCCTCCAGAAATTTTTCGTAGGGGTGGCCAGATGGGGCCAGTTAAAATCTTGGGGTGGCACACCAAAACTACAGTATAAACCATAATTTCAGAATTGTTTTCTACTGTTGTAATAAACCAGCCTGTAGAAAACTATCAGAAAGACTTAAGGAAACTCCTACTGATATACTTTGGTTTATTGTGTAATATTTAATGTTATAATGATATTAGTAGGGCCCAACTAATATATATTACATTGTATATAATGATATATATTATATGATATATAAGGGTCCTTGCCCCACAGCAAATTTCCAGATACTTACATAATTGTGATGAATTTAATCATTTTTAAGTTATTAGTTTGCATGTATTATTAGTTTAAATGTATTATGAATTTTTAATACACTTAATGAGTGTATACATCAGCAGCAAAAAGTAATTCTTGAAAAAATCTGCACAGTAATTTTATAAAATCTAAATATGTTAATAAAAACAAATTACTATTAGTTCTCTTTTAAAATTCAATCAGGCAATCATGTCACAATTTTATATTTATATATTAATGTCAAGAATTCAGAAGTGCATAGCCTAAACTACAAATAAATTATATACAATTAAATTATGCTTATTTAAAATGTATTGAGCAGGCTAGGTATAACAAAATATATTGGCTTTTAATAATATTTCAGTGCGCAAACCCATGATTGAGCCCGTTCTTGCATGATTACATGAAAAACATCGCATTTAAAAGCTCATGTCACAAATCGAAAAAATGTTGAGCGCACAAATCCAAGTGCGATTTGTTCCTTTGTTTCACAGTTATTGTGCGTTTGATGCCGATTCATAATCCTTGTGATATATAGGATATACGTGTGATCTAACAGAACACGGTAGTGAGTCGCTTAAAAACAGCAACAAACTCCAAGAAAATAAAGTAATTTTATGCGAATATACAGACTTTTATCTACAGATCATGCATTTATAATGTCAATATATCATATTGGAGAGAGTTTTACCGTGCATCCAAGAGGCGCGCGTGCTGTTTAAATATGAATGGAGAATGATGACAGTCGCAGAGGAGGGAAAACGAGTTTATACTTTAATGATGTAAATATACTTCTGTCCCTCACATTAAGCTATATGGAATGACTTCAGATGACTTTGTCACCCAAACTGACGTGAAAAAAGCGGGAGGCGTCGAAAAGCGCGCTGTTTGCATCCTGTCCAAACGTGGCAAAAACACACCTAAAAGCTGCTGTATACCATTTGGCACTTAAAAAGCACGTCACGACACATAATTCCCCGTCTTCTTTTACTTAAGAATATTTTTGACTTATTTATAAAATGCATAACTGATGCTACAAAAATTAATACTGGCCATTGGGGTGGCCAATGGGGTGGCCAGGAGTCGGCCAGGCCACCCCCTGGTGGCGCCATTGACAAAGAGAGTTGATTAGTTCGTCTGAATAGCCGCAGAGATTCCTGTCAGAACTTCAGAGATCTACTGTCAAGTCAAGTAAAAAAAAAAGTTATTAGACATGATAGGAATCTATTGTTACTACTGATATGTATGGGATCTCCTTCAAAGCTTCCAGATCACATTTCATATTCATTTATATATTCATTTATTAAAAAGTATTAGATATTATGCATAGTACTTTAGTTAAAGTGTTTGCCTTTTGCCCCTGGTGATTCTTTGACCTTCAGAGAGCAAAGCCCTCCTCGCCACCTCCACATTTATATGAATTTTAGGTGAAACACACCACTTTAAAATTGTATTTTCCCACACAATCTTTCGATCCAAAACATAGGACTGCATATTTTTTTGCAATTTTATATATATATATATATATACATATATATGCATAGTACAGAAAATAATACACACAATTTTAATGAACATATTAATAACTAAAATTCTAAATTGTAATCAACACCCATGTACGATCTGTAAATATCCAAAATTGACAAGAACAAAAGAAACTATTTTAATAATACATGTTTTATTATAAATACATATCAAATATAGTTTTGTATTTACAGAGAACAGACATTGATAACACATACAATAAATTTTAAGAATATCAGGATTAACTTATGTTCACATTTATTGCTCTCACAAGATAGGATGCCAAACATCCACATGTTCGCATTTACTGTACACAAAACAGTAGTAGGAATCATTTTTGCTTTGGATGTGATGGAGAGGTTTCTGCTGTCAGCTCCAGTTTCCTTGAGGAACAAGATGATAGCCTAAGTTTCTCCCATAAACCTGAAAAAGAGGAGAGAGAATTGATTAGAGACATCTCACATAAAAAAAAAACAATTTTAAAATATACTGAAACAGAAAACCGTTTTAAACTATAATAATATTTCATATTATTACTGTTTTTACTAGGTTAGAGTATAGGCCAGGTACATATTGGCCTATAACTAATGATAGTTGCGACAGAAGTGAATCAATCAAATCAAACTTTTTTTCTAGAGCTGCTGTAAAGCCAAAACAATCTGTTACTTTAATTTCCTATTCTCACTGTAAAGCTGCTTTGAAACAATCTATATTGTTAAAAGCGCTATATAAAACGAAGGTGACTTGACAATAGATCTTCAATGTAATGAAGTATTATTTACATACCTGGTATGTCTGTGTTGACTGAGCACACTGTTGTGACTGGACGAAACCGTCACCATTTGCAGAGACGTTTTGCTCCGCTGAATGTTGCTGTGGATACTGATCCACTGTATGACTTGGTTTTCCCTCATACTGTCCATCACCGACACAATGCCCAGCCATAGACCTGCACTGAAAATAGCCAACGATCTCTGGAGAACATGAGCAGCCGCTGGAGTTGTGCTTCAGTTCTTCTGCACTCAGACCCAGCTGAGCTGACAGAAACGAGATGTAGCCTATGGTGAGCCGTAGCGTCTCGATCTTGGTCAGGGTTTGGCCCACGGGAGCTACGGACGGAGGCAGGTACGTCCTGAGATGGTGGAGGGCTTTGGTCAGATCCCTCATCCTCAACTTCTCCTTCTCACTGGCGTTCTGCCGTTGCTCGCTTGGGTTCTTCAGCCTTATTAACCTGCGCTTTCTCTTGTCGACACATGTGGATTTGGCTGATTTGGAGCACGCAGGCTGGGTCCGGTGGGACGGAGAGAAGCCCTGGTCTGTCGAGACGGTGTCCGGAGAGGAAACGCTGTACAACTCCGACTCCGAGCTTGAATAGATCCACTGGTTCGTCTGGCTGTGGCTTGAGCTTTCCATGTTGTGACTCTTGAGAGTGAATGAAGGCTGGACTGAGGGCTGGAGGTTTATATGTGGGACTCAGAGGTGTGAGGTGACACCTCTGCAGGCTTGCGGTAGCCATTGCTGTCTCTGAGACCGCAGGACTCGGCCTGGGTCTGTCTGGGAAAGGCTTGGAGAGGCCACAGGAGCAGAGGTGTGAATTTTAACTCCTCTTCAAAACAACAAACCAGTGCAGCTATTCTTCCAGTGAACTGATCTTGTACATCTGACCAAACAATGTATGGTTTCTCTTGAATCTATTTTAATGTAAGAATCACCCCCAAAAAATGGGTGAAAAAAGTATTTCATTCTGTATATATCTCATAAAAATCTGTCATAAAGCAAAAAAAAAATACAGCAAATGCACCAATAAACATCTAATGTTAAATTTAGCAAGCATTCAATTAATGGAAAGGTAGTAAAGACAAAATATTTATATTTCAAATAAATGCTTTCTATTCATTAAAGATTCCTAAAAAATGCGGCATGGTTTCCACAAAAATACTGTTTTCAACATTAAAACTAATACAAAATGTTTCTTGAGCAGCGAATCAGCATTTCAGAAAGATCGCTGAAGGATCATGTGACACTGACTGGAGTTATGATCAGGTTTTGATCATAAGAGGTGAGCATAAGAGACTTTCGAAAACATTTAAAAATCAGGCCGACTAAACTTTTCAACAGTAACAATATTTCAATAGCAATTTTATATATTTAGTTTTAGGTTAAACTAGAAAGGTAAAACATTTGAGCTGAGTCATTTGATAAATTCCACTAAAGCAGCCTATTATATATTATATTTAAGATACAGTCCCAATCATCAGCCCAATAATTCAAAAGTGCTGCTAATTGTCTGTATGGGGTTGTATTTCAAAGAGCTAAGCAGAGTAACTGACCTTAATGATGTTTAATGATGCTTAATAAACTCCATTAGCAGATTGCACTTGAGGTGTGACATTCACACAAACCGGCGATCAGTTTTGCAGTTTAGTGGCCAAGATAGTCATTCGCCCAGTGAAGTGGGTCTCATTCAGAGATTCAAAGTGATAATGAGAAGAAAAAAATTGCGATTGATTTATAATAACCTTTTTTTTAAATAATGAAATAGCCTACTTATATTTATATATTTTATTTCATTTTATAAAAAAAAAAGGATTTTATATTTTTAAAGTTTTTTTTTTTTAAAGATTTTACAGTTTTTGAAAGAAGTCTTGTAGGCTCACTGCATATTTTTGATTGAAAATAGGTAAAAACAGTAAAACTGTATATTTAACTTTTTTAATTAATCCTTCAGAAATCATTCTAAGAGAGGATAATTACAGACGTATGTTTTAGTACAAGCTAGATGCTTGATCTCTCTCTGTTGGAAAGATGTCAAGAGCCCTTATCGCGGGCTGAAAGAATTATCAGCATGCCTTATCCTTGAAAAGTTAACATACACAATGAAAAGGATCAGCTGAATTTAAAGAGATCTGGAATCCCTTTCTTGCATTTTTGGAGAACTGTGAAGCCGAAGAAACTCTGGAAACTTGATAGCGATATGTAGGCTATCCAACTGTCTGTATTTCCTATATGTATGATTAGCCTACAAAATGTCATTACCCCGTGTTATTTATTTATTTATTTATTTATTTTTATTTTTTTGGGGGGGGGGGGGGCTTTCTTAGTTTGACTCTTATACGCTTTGTTAAATTTATCAACATATATCCTTGTTAACTGTTAAAATTCAATAAATACATGTTTCATGTAGAAATCATTCTAATATTGAGCACTGACTGAGGACACGTTTAGTTGAATGTATTTATTTAGATTACAATAGATTTGATAGTTTAATCTATTTAGATTAAAATAAATAGATTAAAAGAGCTAAAGTTATAATTAGCTTTGTAATTCATGAATTTAGATTAAAATAGATTGGTTTAGTGCCACAAAAAAGTTCAGTTATTTTTTATTTTATTTTTGTGGATCCTGATACATGTTTTTTAGGGTTCTATGATTAACAGAAAATTCAAAAGAGCAACATTATTGAAAAAAAAATCTTTTGTAGCATTATAAATGTCTTTCTTGTCACCTTTTATAGATTGAATGCACATTGCTGAATAAAAGTACTAATTTATTTAACATAGAATAGCCTACACGGTATCTCAGAATTAGTTTAGTATTGTGGGGTGTGCTTGTTAGCCTGTTGCCATGTGGTTGCTATTGTTCTGGGTGATTGTTGAGGTAAATGCTAGGCGTTTACTGTGTTTTGATTCCGTATGAAACTAGAAGAGCTTTGAACGCAGCAGAAATGAGCCGCTTCTGCTGGAAAGCCAGGTAAAATTAGGCGCATGTCCCCAGTTAACACGATCTGCAGTTGATACATTAATAACAACGCCTGGTGGAATGTGTGACGTTAGTGGTCGCGAGACTGCTTGAACGTCGACGTAGAAAAATAAAGAGTTAGAGAATTAGCTGGTGAAATGTATTTAAAGTTACTTTTTTTTTTAAACAAGTTATAATTAGCATTGTAATGTTTGAAGTATGTCAAGATAAATGTCAATAAGACCGGGAACATTTTAAAACGAACGGTTCATTCATTCATCCGTAGCCTAGGCCTGAAGTTTTCTGAAAGCTTCATGCAGTGGAAATAAAGCTGAAGACAGAAAACAAGGAGCAGCACTGAAAATGGGCTAGACTTGTGAAATGAAGAGAGTGCAACTTGACATTTTAGCAACTGTGTGAAAGTGAATTATGGAATCCAATGGAAATGATTTTATTTGAAACAGGGACAATGCTCAAATAAACATTAAAGAGAATATAATCACACTGGGAAACTAAATCAATCTCACGAGCAGCTTCCCCATAACTATAATAATGACATTTCCAAAGATGTTATCATGTCAAACACCCTAGGTTTTTTTTACAAATTAGCATTTAATAGTTTTGATTTGTGTGCCCTCTTAGCTATACTGTAACCAGGTACCATTTTCAGGATCCATGTCTTGAGAACTATTCTCTGATGGCATCTGTAACCAGCACTGTGACCTCCAGGCCACCCTCTCTGTGAGAGTGAATGAGAAGCGTGCAAGATTTGGCACCTCCTAACTGCAGAAGAATGAAGCTGGCACCTGTGTGTGTCTTTTCACTTTCTTCAAATCAAACTCCCGCAGAAACTCAACTAAAATACATATTCCTTGTGCTTTTTTTGCAGGGGCAGCATAGCCTATATGATAGCACATTTGTCAATTTACATGTTACCAAGCTTTGATTTTTACTGTGCCCTGGTGTAACAAAGTGAGGCCCTTCACACCCTTGGTATGAAATGCGACAAGCAATTTAATCACAGGGTTGATATAAACCAAGAAACACATTGAGCATGAATAAATCTGTCATTGCACAAGCAAATTCCTTGTATTGAATCACTTAAAATATTGCAATATATGATGGTTGCCTAAAGAAGTAAATGTAGCTGTGCTAAGAGGTAAATATTATGCAGCCAAAAACATTGTTTTATTTAGGAAATTAAAAAGGATGTTAATAATAAAAAAATGAAGAGTTGCATAAAATGCACAGCAATTAATCGAGTAAATCTGGTGAAAGACTTATGTAGATTTTTGTTTCACACCTTTGCATAAATAAATGACCATCTCAAGAGGTGTGACTGATTCACACGTGTGCCCTGGCCATGTTTTCACAAGTGCCTTTCCATGTGCCCATACTCGCCGAAAAGCATGGGAACTTTCTCCAAGACCAAAATACTGTGGTTTTCCCATTTCAATATATTGTGGTGCATGGGAAAGAACATGAAGCACTGAAGAGCAAAATTATGTTTTATATTTTTTTTTTATTGTTATACCATCACAAAACCATGACAAACAAAAAACAAAAAGGTAAACTGATCTTTTCTTATTTGAACATGAAATATAAAAAGATTTTCTTTTAGATTTCTCTTGACATAAAGATGTTAGGAGTCGTTTAATCAGTGTTGATGTATAGGAGGATATTTGAATAGCATTTTCTGTGGTCAAAAGTGGAAAAAAAAGTGAGCCATACCTACATATTTAGTATTCACACACTTTTAAAACAAGAGACAAATAAAATCAGAATCACATAATCTACATATTTTCTCAAAGGAAATGAGCATTATACATACTTCACACATAAGTCCATTTTAAAAATGTCTATCTCCATACAAACATTGTAATTTTGATGTCTTCTAACGAAAGGCATGACAAATAATAGTTGAAAAAAAATGGGAATCCAAAAACGTTAGAATTAAAACACAGTGAAAATGTAATTGTCTAATGTGAAAATAAATATATAACAACGTAGTTAACAAATACAACACAACAAAAACTAGCTGATGACCAAAAGTTGGTGAGCGGGTGAACTCAATTTTTACAAGATCTCATTAAAAGTTTGAACTTACAGTCAAAGTTATTATTTGTTCCAATATAAAAAAGGGAATTTGATATCACTACTCGCCTCTAAATCATTTTGTAGCAAAGATATTGCCCCATATTTCCACATTTGGGATTTCTTACTCACAATACAGCCACTGTGAACTACATACACATCTACATCTCTACAAGTAATTCTATGAAAGTACGGCAATACTACAGTACAGTGGTTCTAACATAACACTGTTTCAGCTTCACATGATTCAGCCCATTTCCTGACAGTGTTCATCAGTCTAAGCATACGGTCATCCAGTGTCCAGCTGGACCAAACGCTGAGGCCTTGAGGAGTTTGGCTTTTTCACTGAAGAATGACCTCCCGAGTCTCAGGTAGCTTAAATGCTAGCAGTCCTCCACACACTAGCGCTGAGAAGGACAGGATGATCGGGATAATCTTGGTGATGCCGATAAACTTGCCGAAGATGAAAGTGCTAATGATAGCTGCCAGTTTACATGTGCCATTCAGCACACCAAAAGCTGTGGCTCTGAGGAAACAAGAGATGGATTAATGAGCAAAGTATGGAAGAATAAGTACAAACTTTATGCCTGGTTCAGATTACACGATTTTATCCCGATTTTGGCATGATCCGTTTGACGTAGGGTGTCATGGGGATTCACAGGCGTCGGGACGCAAGATTCGATCGTATCATCTCGTATAGTGTATCATAGTGGGCGACAACCTACGTCGCGTCTGCGATGCTTCACAACATCACGACAAAAAGACTAGCATGTTTAATTTTTTAACGGTCGTCCACGACGATTCCGCCACATGTATGAGGTTGACCAATAGGAGCGCAAAAGCTTTTCCGTACACAACTTTCAAAAATCGTGAAACAAAAGAGAGAAAATAAAAGTTTGTGTTTACATAATATATGTGGGTGCACTGTGTATAATTATTTTATATATATATATATATATATATATATATATATAAAAAAATACACATGTATAAATATTTAAGAAAAAAATATTTATATTTATATATAATTTAAATTATATATAAATCTATATACAGGACATGAAAATATTTCTTAAGTATATACAAATGTGTGTGTATTTATATATATATAAAATAATTTAATTATACACAGTGCACCCACAATTATGTAAACACAAACTTTTATGTAAATTTATATTATGTAAACACAAACTTTTATTTTGGATGTGATTAATTGCGATTAATCGTTTGACAGCCCTAAAAAATATATAAGAAAACAATATTTTACCTCAAGTTCTCTTTGGAGGATTGACAGCCCATACTGTCCTCTTCGAGCAATCCAGGAAAGTTTCAATTGTCGGGTTTTATTTCTTTTTTTAGCTTTTTTTCTGAACACAGGACAGTCAATACAACACTCACCGCTTCATCCATCGTTTGTTTACGTTTGTTTCTGGAAGTCACTCGCTACTAGTTTTGCCTTCTCGGTGACATCACGCGTGCCGTTAAAGATGGCATGCGATGACTGGTCAGGAAGCAATGTGAAGTCTGACATGCGTCTTGTCCACAACAAGATTTTAGGAGTCAAAATCGCGTAATCTGACACAGTGACTATCGTAACAGACAAAAAAATTGCGTAATCTGACACAGTGACTATCGTAACAGACAAAAAAATCGTGTGATCCGACACAGTGACTATCGTAACAGACAAAAAAATCGTGTAATCTGACACAGTGACTATCGTAACAGACAAAAAAATCACGTAATCTGACACAGTGACTATCGTAACAGACAAAAAAAAAATCACATAATCCGACACAGTGACTATCGTAACAGACAAAAAAAATCACGTAATCTGACACAGTGACTATCGTAACAGACAAAAAAAAAATCACATAATCCGACACAGTGACTATCGTAACAGACAAAAAAAATCGCGTAATCTGACACAGTGACTATCGTAACAGACAAAAAAAACGCGTAATCTGACACAGTGACTATCGTAACAGACAAAAAAAATCGCGTAATCTGACACAGTGACTATCGTAACAGACAAAAAAATCGCGTAATCTGACACAGTGACTATCGTAACAGACAAAAAAAAATCGCATAATCTGACACAGTGACTATCGTAACAGACAAAAAAATTGCGTAATCTGACACAGTGACTATCGTAACAGACAAAAAAATCGTGTGATCCGACACAGTGACTATCGTAACAGACAAAAAATCGCGTAATCTGACACAGTGACTATCGTAACAGACAAAAAAAATCACGTAAACTGACACAGTGACTATCGTAACAGACAAAAAAAAAATCACATAATCCGACACAGTGACTATCGTAACAGACAAAAAAATCGCGTAATCTGACACAGTGACTATCGTAACAGACAAAAAAATCAAAACAAAGGTTCCAAAAGGGGGTTTTCACGTCATAGAGGAACTATTTGTGGTTCCACAAAGAACCTTAAAATAACTATGTTTTTCTTCATTTATTTAATCCTTTCCAAGATAAAGAACTTTTTGTGAAAAGTTCTATGGGTGTGAAAGCTTCTTTATGGAATTATCGGTGCCAATAAACAACCTTTATTTTTGTAAGAGTGCATGAATAATCGAAGCTTTGAGACATAGAAGTCCCGCCTTTAATATGTTGCACTGTTTAATGAAAATGTAAAAAAAAAAAAAAAAAAAAAAAAAAGGGAAAAAAAGTTCATCTTTACAAATTTCCAGATAAAAACATTGAATAAAACCATAAAGGGTTACCGTAGTTCACCCAAAAATGAAAATTATCACATAATTTACTCAACCTCAAGTGTATATGACTTTTCTCTTTCAGCCAAACACAATCAGAGTTATATTAAAAATTATCCTGGCTCTTCCAAGCTTTATAATGGGAGTGAATGGTACCAAGTGAATTTTAAAGCCCAAAAAAGCACATCAATTCCATCATATAAGTAATCCATATGGCTCCAGGGGGTTGATAAAGGCAGTGGAAGAGTGACCTCAGACCTGACGCATGATGTACTGATGAACGCAGAAGAAAAGAGAATAGAGCAAAATAAAACATTGTTTTATTAGAATTAGAAGTCTAACATGAGATTTTTAATGAGAAATGTCAGAAGAGACATTTTGAACTGTGAGAGTCATCTACTCTCACCAAACTCTCATCATGCGTCGGGTCAAAGGTCACATTTACGCTGGAACTAGACTCTCATTAACGCACAAACCAGAAGCTTTTAAAGTTATAATTATGGATATTTTCCCACAAAAAACGAATTGCTTCGCTTCAGAAGTTCTTTATTAACCCCCTGGTGCAATTACTTTTATGATTACAGTCTTTTTCACTGTATTTTTGATCAAATAAATGCCACCTTGGTGAGCACAAGAGACTTCTTTGAAAAACATTAAAAAACGTATTTTTAACGGTAGTTTAGTTCATCACGTAAATGCAGTTTTGAGAAAGAACTCGCAGGTTGAAAAGCATCTGCCTTACACTAATTCTACTTATCAGAGTTGTACTTTTTGTACCTTTTCGAGGCAGGATAGAGCTCCACAGTGATGACCTCGATGCCATTCCAAGCTGCCGCACTGCTTGCGAAGAACAGGCACTGGAACAGGACGACAGCCCACTGACTGAAGCACAGGAGCAGGAAGAACGTGCAGACAGCGGAGCCTAACATAGATGCCCCTGCAAAGACACACAAGAAGAATTCATTTACATACTATCAACACTTTGAAAGTTATCGATAAAGCCGTCACAGTGCTGCTATTATGCTATTTTTAAGGTTTCCAATTTTCTTTTGGAGGTCTCCAAAGTCAATATCACTTTAATTTTCTCATAATATCCATTGCACATCCGCTCTATTCTCACAGTGTCTGAAAAGATTCAGTTTATAAACTCCTTCTTTCTGAGAGCCAGCTCTGCTCTGATTGGTCAGATGGCCCAGTCTGTGATTGGTCTATCGCTTCCAGTGTGTATTGGAAACGAACAACCAACAACCGAACATTTTGACTTGCCCTCTCGTAACTTCTGTATCATTGAGCTTGGACTACAAAATCGGCGCGAGAAATAATAATGGCGGATTGCTTGAAGTGTTGGACCGGTAGTTGACGTCCTTATTTGGCAGTTCCGCTGCAAATACTGCGACGTAATTGTTTAAAATACGTTGTAGAGAACAGAAAAATCTGAACAGGTTGAAAAAGATGACCAAAACAGAATATAAAGATATAAACGAATCACCTGAAGAGAATACGTTCATCTTTTTTGTACTTTTAAACACAACAAATATACAACACAGTGCATTTAAGAGATAAAAAAGTGGATTTTGCATGATATGTCCCCTTTAAATACAGTTACACAAGTAGTGTAACTAAACATAGGACGGTGACACAAAATAAAACGTTGCGCTTTTAAGCGTGTAAAATGGATAACTATATTGTATGGCGGAAGACCACAGCAAGTGCTTGGGAGCACAGGAAAACACTTGGGAAAATGGTGGAGTATCCCTTTAAGGTAAAATTCGAAAAGGCATAATAGTCTAATGCAAGCTAATGCTTGTAACCACTCACCTATAATTTTAAGTCGTCCTATTTTATCCATTAATAGACCTGCTACGATGTTGCCAGGTATCACAGATAAACTGCCCAGGAAGCAGACTAGATAGATCAGGATGTCATTTTCCTCTTGGAAATTTAGATGGCAGCCTTTTTTTGGGTGCAAAAATGTTGTATTTTCCAGCTTACAGTTAAAAAACTTGGAATCTTTCCACAGGTCTGTAAGGAACAAGACACAAATATTGGAAGATGACAATTAATGAAAGGGAAACCCAAATAACCATTCAAAATCTTATAGGATGAAGGTTAGTATATAAAGTAAATATGAATTGCATACCAGTATTGTAGAAGACTGTGTTTTTAAGGGTGCAGTTCTCAAAGAAGGTCTCTGTTGATCTGATGTCCTCAAAATAACAGTTCTCAAACAGGGATTCCTCAAACTTCACATTTTTTATTTCTATGTTGATAAACCTGCGTGTAAAGTAAAGAAAAATGACTGCTCAACCAATACACAACCGTGCAATTATTATTTTTTAAATAATTCAGCGAATTAGTGACCGTAAAGACAGTGTTACAAAAGATATCTATTTTAAATAAATGCTGTTCATTAGAAAATGCTATTTATCAGAGAACCCTGAAACAAATTATCATGGTTTTCTATATTAATGATAATGAAAGTGTTTCTTGAGTAGCAAGAAAAATAATCATGTGACACTGAAGACTGGAGTGATACTGAAAATTCAGCTTTGCCTCACAGGAATAAATTACATTCTAAAATATATTAAAATCGAAAACAGTAGTTTGAAATTGTGAAACTACAGTATTTCACAATATTACTGTTTTTACTGTAATTTCAATCAAATAAATGCAGCCTCGGTGAGCGTAAGAGTCTTTCACGTTATTTCAACATTAACAAATCTTAATCTTTTGAACAATATGTACCTGCATCAGTCCTTTATTCTATAAAACATCATACTTTATAGACAGAGACCGAAGTTAATGTACCTGTCATGGATATACTCCCCCTCTTTGTGGACTTGATTTTGCAGAGTGAAGTTAAAATGAAAGCGTTCCACTTTCTCACGATAGAAGATCTTGACGTTGGACTCGTACTCCTCAAACTGGAGGTACTTGATCTGGTCAGGAAACCACGCTCCCAGGCCATAATAGCTATGTGGTGAAAGATTGATTAATACTGTTATTTAGTACTAAAATGTCCTCATTAGGCAGCATTAAATATAATTTTCATTTAAAAGTTAATTCCACAATGCACATGTAGCCAAAAGAAAATTTCTTGAAAATTGTTGATTGTTGAAAATGGTGAATTTATTTTTAAAATATACTTAGAACTCTAAATAAATAATTTATTAAATAAGTGAGCGCTATGCAATTGGGCATAAAAATATAGGGCACGAATTTTAACACCTGTTCAAAAATTATTTCTTTTTTTGTGAAAGAATTCTGTGAAACAACACAGACATTCATAATGCTACAATATTTATACAATACAATATTTCTGTCTCAAATAAATGCTGTTCTTTTGAACGTTTTCAAAATCCTGATCTTCCACACTTTAAGAAGCACAACAATTTTCAACGATAGGTTTTCAACTGTTTCTTGAGCAGCAAATCAGCATATTAGAATGATTTCTGGAGGATCATGTGACACTGAAGTCTTGAGTAATGATGCTGAAAATCAGCTTTGCCATAAAATAAATAAATAGATAGATAGAATTTCTAAATAAATACAAATTTTATACTTTTATATTTTTTTAATCAAATAAATGCAACCTTGATGAGCATGAAAGACTGATATGTATTAATATAAATTCTTAAATATTGTTTCAAATAATTAAAGAGGGCTAATGCAGATCACTTAGAGTTGTTGGCTATGTACCAGAGAGCAACATAGTGTCGGCCCAGATCCGGGTCACATATAGTACATGTGGATTCAACGCATACCAGATGTGAGATGGATCTGGGCCGAACCCGAGCGGAATTCGAACCTGCATCACTGGTTCAGTTAAGTATGACATTACACTAAAGACTGTAGCCTCTAGCGCCAATCGCTAGTGTACCGTACCTCTGGAGGCCAGTGGAGTGAGGTTTACCCACACGGCTCTTCACCCGTTAAAAGAGCATTCCAAATCCATCACTTATGAGATTATATGACCAGCATAGGCAACATAGACAGCAAGAAGCTCAATAAAGCTTCTCCATCAAGAGCTGCTCACCTGAAGGCCATCGTAAACCACACAATGGCAATGAACAAACTATGGAGTCTGAGATCAGGTGCAGCCAGTGACATCATGTTCTTCATGACCTTTTGGAGAACAAACGAAACAATCACTTCATTTGTGTTAGCGAAACAAGAATCTTAAGATCCAATCTGCAAATGAAAAATTGCAAAAATGTTATTAAATGACTATTTTTTTATTTTATGAACAAAATGTAGGTGGTGCTTGCCATGCAAGGGTGGTTGCCAGGAGTTTGCTATGTTGCTGGAAACGCGTTTGGAGTGTTTTTAATGATTTCTATGGCGCGTTTCAATCTTTTTATCATTAAAAACTGTAATTCCACTCGCTAACCTCACAGCTCTCCTCACTTTAGGTTATCATTCAGGTTTGAAGCTCAAATGATGCAGGACGAGAAAGAAGATGGTAGCAGACACTGAATGTACTATACATTGTGAAAAGGATAAACCTCTGGAGTTGGATTATCAAAAGCCCTATTCGCATGGGATTAGAATTATCTGGTGACCGTTAGTAATTTGTAATAATTGCAGTGTTTGTCTGTGATATTACTCCCATGCAAATCGGCAATGTCTGTAATTTGTAAAGTAAAAATTCCCCCGCAAATTACCTACTATATTTCGCCGAACACCGAGGTCCTGTGATAATATTAGTCCCGTGCGAATCGGCATCTCGGTGTTTTGGCGGGATGGTATATCATTTTTTCAAGGCTTTTGTTTCATGTGCGCCTTTTTATCCATCTTTCGTGAAGAATGGAGGCTGGTTTTGATAGTATTTTTGGGGCTGGATCATATCGCTATACATAACTACACAATTTGCAGAAAGTAAAAGCTGAAAATCATCAGAAGAGCAAAATCAAAAAGATTGATTAGATGGAGATGAATGACGTGTATAACGGCATGTGGTAAGGAACTTGGTTCTGTTTATGTATAATATATCATATAGCTAGACCTATAACGAAAAGAAACTTCCAAACAACAGCCTATTGACATTGTCATTTCGAGGAGATAAGTCAGTAAATTCTAGAAAAATCAAAGGCTTCAGTTATCCCGTGCGAATGCGCCACAGGAAATTCAGATGTGGCGGGGTAATTTATAAATCAAATTCGAATAGGGCTTTAGCATACCTGTTTAACCAGGGTCAGGTGTCTGACCGTGAATCTCTGAAAGGCAGTTCCAGTTTCACTCTGAATCTCTATGAACTCGTCCTCTTGTGTTTCGGGTATTTTAAGCTGCGAAACCTGAAAGAGAGGAATATATTTCATAGTTAAGACCACGTAAGATGAGCCATTTATCAAGTGTCCCCAATGCAGTAACTAATAAATTCTAGACTTTACTCAGTAAACTCTTCACAGATGCAGATATAGGGTTAATTCTGCTGCTTTGCTGTTATTTAGTGGTGTAGAAGTTTAAAATGGACAACTTTACTTGAAACACTCGTTCTGGCTCTCCCTTTGCCCTCCAGTTGGTGTCATGGACTTGCCGCAAGACCATCCAGGCCTCATCGTGTCTTGCAGTCTGAAATTCACAAAAGATATAATGCTTTTTTAGTTTTAATTAATATTTCAAATTAGCTTTTTTTTAGGGCTGTCAAACAATTAATCGCATCGAAAATAAAAGTTTGTGTTTACATAAAATATGTGGGTGCACTGTGTATAATTATTTTGTATATATATATATATATGAAGAGTTCAGATGCAAAAGCCTCTAAGTGCCATTTGAAATTTTCTTCTAGAATGATCATTTTTATCAAACTTGTATATTTAAGTTCAGTAATTTCACTTAAATGGCAATGATAATTACCTATTAATTGTTATTTAAGTGAAATTACTGAACTTAAATATACAAGTTTGATAAAAAATCATCATTAAGGAAGAAAATTTCAAATGGCATTTAGAGGCTTTTGCATCTGAACTCTTCATATATAAATACACACACATGCATGTATATTTAAAAAAAAATAATTATTTATATATAAAATATTTATATATAAAATAAATTATAAATAAATCTATATACATGAAAATATTTCTTAAATATATACAAGCATGTGTGTGTATTTATATATAAAAGAATTATACACAGTGCACCCACATATATTATGTAAACACAAACTTTTATTTTCGATGCGATTAATCGCAATTAATCGTTTCACAGCCCTACTTTTTTATGTTTATGTTGTTAATCTTAGTTTCATTTTTAGTAATGTGCTTTTTATCAGTTTATATTTTTAAATATTGCCATTTAGGTTAAATTTATTTTTATATGTGTTTCAGTTTTGGTTAGTTTAACAAATTTTATTGCCAAGGCAACAATTTTTTCAACTAATATTTCTATTTTATTATTTTATTTTTATTTTATTATTTTACTTCAACTGTATTTCAATTAACAGAAATTCTTTTAATAGTTTTAGTTAAATGATAATAACCCAGAATGGATATCATTCATTTTGTGTAGCACTGGGTGTCTGCCAACTACATTTTATACAATAAAGAAAAGTCATTTATGCCTTAAAAGTGCAGTAAGCAATTCCTGAGAAACGCTGTTAAAAGTGGGTCAGACCGAGCAGCACGACACACTTGTAGCCAATCAGCAGCAGGGTGGGTGTGTCCACTCATGATGGGGGAGTAGAGAAAGCGAGCAAGAGGGAGATTTGAATAAAGACGGTAGAAAATGAGATGGCTGAGAGACATTACAAAAGAGAAAAGGTCGGAGGAATATTACTGGAAAAAGAAGCGTTACGATCAGGTAAGAGCTTTAGGACCCTCGTTTATATTATTGGGCTTTTCCATTACCAGTACCAGCTCGACTCGGCTCGCTTTTCGCTCCGTTTTCCATTGCAGACAGTACCATGATTCTTGAAAATCGGTTACTGCACATTTTAAATGCAATAATTTCCACAATATACCTTTTTACAGTATAAAATGAAATTTCTATACAATTCAGAATTTTGAACTAAACTAAAACTAAATAAATAAATAATGTATTTTAATATTTTTACTAATAGATAAAGTGATGATTAAAGCGATACTATGCAGTTTTTTTTAGCTTAACAGAACAGCTTCAGAGTTATTGAAATAGTAATATGACTTCTTTCGGGTTGTGGCGGTCTCGCCAGCCGGACGCACACTGCAATCCGTTGCGGGGACTGAGTGACTCTCTATATTTGTTACGATGAAATCACAACCTAATGCACAAAAAAACGTATCCCTGCTTGAAATACATCCACTAATAAACAATCGGTTTTGATGAGGAAAATAAACAATACAACTAGTAGGGATTAGAACCCAGAACCCAAAAGTTCTGCCTCTTGACCATTAAAGTTCATGGGGATAATTGTAGGATATATGTATTTAATCATGTGAAAGTTCTCACCATTAATAACATATATTAGATCTCATTAAACAACAAATTAAACACAATGTACTATTGTATACTAACACGCCATGTACATATTGTATACAAGCAGTGGCGTAACTTTGTTATAAAAAGTGGGTGGGACATGTGTATAAATGAATGAATCACGTGACACGTGAATAAAACATAGATCCGACTTTACAACATGTCCAGTAATACATGGCTCTGGTCCAGTGGAATAGATATGCTAGGCATACAGAAAGTCCTGTAAAATTAAACGAATAAAGTGACCTAATAATATGAATAAAAATTATATAAACAAAAATATACAAAAAAGTAAATTAACTAGGCTATTAGGCCAGAATTTTAAAATTTAAATTGGCTTATAGCCTATTCATTGTACACACAAACTGCTGTAGCCTACAATTAAACGAATAAATGGGCCTAATAATATAAATAAAGATAAAAAATAAGTGTATAAACAAAAATGTAAAAAATAAAAAATAAAGGCCTAGGCTACATACACATTTTAAAAGTAAATTTAAAAAGTAAATTAACTATTAGGCCAACATTTTGATAACTAAACGTTTGCACAGCGCGCACAAATAGCCTAATAAAATTATGCTTATCAATTGTACAAAAAATGCTGTAAAATTAAATGAATCAATGGGCTTTATTATAAATAAAAATATACAGGCTATAGGCCTACTGTAGGCTACATCAACGTTTTAAACGTATGCTAAATGAACTATTAGGCCAAAATTCATATAACTGAACTTTTGCGCAGAGTGCACATTACAATTTAAATGGGTTACGTTGTCAAACTTTTAAGAAAGAAAGAAAGAGTTCACCTTCAAGAACACAAGTTTGGACAATGTCTGAGGCTTCAGACTCATGCGGTTGTTGCGGAGAAAACCCTCTCTGCCCTTGCAGACCCGCTTGGGATGCTGAACACAATGCGAGGCGGGGAAAAGACGTGGAGTCAGACTCGTGGTGTGAGCGGAGCGAAATTGGAGCTGGAAATAGGGCGACGCCCCGTCCTTTAAAAAAATGCCCCTCTGCGCTCTGTCCAAGATCCGCCCGCTCGAGCTCCCTGCTCGCTCCCGCTCCACTCCGCTCACATGCTCTGCACCGGAACGAACAAAAAGTCTCCGAAACAATCTCCGAAACGGATTGAAGCGCGCATGCATGTGAAGACTGTGCGTGAGCCACGAGATACAGAGATTAGAGATTACGGGTAACCGCGCCACCGATCGCAGGCGGCAATGAGCATTTTGATCACTTGATTTAAAAAACAACCTATTTCAGGGCTAGATCGCTTCTTTTATTTTACAAACGAACGAAATGATTGGTCTGTCAGTTGGAGATGTTTTATTTATTTCTACTGTTAGCTATCCGTGCCGCGAGAACTTTTAAAAAGTGGTGGGGACAATATCCACCTTGGCAAAAAGTGGTGGGGACATGTCCCACACGTCCCACCCGCAAATTACGCCCCTGTATACAAGCCATGAGTGGTATTTACGACAGTTAATTTCAAGTACTCCACAGCGACTCTAGGGGTCGCTGTTTGACAAAACGGGATTCCTACATTGTGTCCCTTTAATAGAGGGAATGCATTGACATCACTTTGCAACCAGAACAACCCCCCTCAGCCTGACTGAGTGGCAAAAGATCTGCTGCGTGGCTGGATTTGATAGGGGAAACTGCAAAAATGCGACTAAAACGAACAATTTTATCAATTTAAACTAAATGTTGGACTCAATATAGTGTTCCTTACAACTTACTAAAGATCCAGTGATCCATGGATATTGACATGCAGCCAGGAATCGTGTTGCCTGACATTTAAATAAAAGCAATATAGACCTAAACATAGGCTAAAGCCAATTTGCCTGGGAACACTTTATATAAATACAATATAGGTAGGTCTAAATCCGGGTGATCACTTATAGTTTTATATATAGCCAATTTATATTACCTCCAGGAGGAAACGGGGACTTTCTGGCATGAACACAAGCCCAGCGAGAGCAGCCACAGAGGGAAGGAAACAAACCAGTACAAACACCCTCCAACTGTGGAACTGGAACTCTGTCCCCATACTGAAACCCCAGCCTGCAAAAAAAAAACAAAAAAAAAACAACTAATATTAAATATAGTTCCAGACAACTAATATTGTTTCTTCAAGTCTGCTCTTACACAATGTAATAATTGCCATTATTAGAAACATATGATGAATTACCATAATGTGGGATGATTCCCCATGCGGTGAAGGAAGCGTACAGTCCTCCGAGCATCCAGAACAAGCACAACCAGCTGAGATGTTCTCCTCTCTTATCTATCTGGAGGAACTCAGCAAAGTACGTATACACGACAGGGATTGATCCTCCGATCCTGCAGGAGATCATCAGAAACTGATTCTTGAGATCATTTACTGAATAGATCAAATATAATTCTACCGTAAAGATAGTAAAAGCTGCAATATACAACCATTAGACTCTGGTAAATGTGTCCATGTAAAAAATGTGAAATATGAAATCATACAAGAACTATATGATACACTACCGTTCAATGGTTAGGTCAGTTCGATTTTTTTTTTTAATAGAAATTAATATTTTTTTTTGCAAGGATACATTTAATTGATCAAAAGTAAATGAATATAAAAAAATATTTATATTTCAACTTTTGAACTTTCTATTCATCAAATAATCATGAAAAGATGCATCGAGATTTGCACAAACATATTTTGCACAAACTGTTAATTAATAAGAAATGTTTGAGCAGCATGTATTTTTGATGAATTAAATGCAGCCCTTGTGAACACAAGATACATCTCTTTAAAACATTAAAAGGGTGGTATAATACCCTTCTTACAAGATGTAAAATAAAGTTTCTGATGTCCCCAGAGTGTGTATGTGAAGTTTTAGCTCAAAATACCCCATAGATAATTTTATAGCATGTTACAATTGTCCTTTTTTGAGGATGAGCAAAAAACGCATTGTTTTGTGTGTGTCCCTTTTAATGCATATGAGCTGCTGTTCCCGGCACAGAGGGCGGAGCTTCAAGAGCACGCGTGTGTGTGTTAGTAGCTTGCAGACAAGCACTAAAATGCCAGAAACTGGTCTGCCTTTTATGTTCAAACCGTTTATGTTTATGAGTCGGACAATGATGGAGAGACTCAAAAAGAAGTGACAACATGACGTTTCTGAATGGTTAGTTAATGAGTTTATGTTGCTGATGTGGAGTTAACCATCTTCAAGTCATTTATTAGCATGTTCTGTCATAATAATCTATAAAATCGCTCTTGTGGGAACTGTTGTAAAATGCATACAGAGTGACATGCTATTGCATTGTGTTATGTACTGTACACTCCCAGAAAAAAAGGTACAAAAACTGTCACTGGGGCTGTACCTTTTCAAAAGACTGCATATTGGTACCTTAGTGGTACATATTAGCACCTAAAATGTACATTATTAACACCTAAAATGTAGGCTACATATTAGCACCTAAAATGGACATATTAGCTCATGAAAGGTACATTAACACTTAAAATGTACATATTAGCACCTAAAATGTACAAATTAGGACCTAAAATGTACATATTAGCTCCTGAAATGTAAACATTAACACTTAAAATGTACATATTAGCACCTAAAATGTACATATTAATACCTAAAATGTACATATTATCACCTGAAATGTACATATTAACACCTAAAATGTACTTATTAGTACCTAAAATGTACATATTAACACCTAAAATGTATATATTAGCTCCTGAAATGTAAATATTAGCACCTAAAATGGACAAAAGTTAACCTTTTGAAAAGGTACAGCCCCAGTGACAGCTTTTGTACCTTTTTTCTGAGAGTGTATTACATGTGAAAAGAAGGATGCAACAGCTTGAGACTCAAAAATGTGCTCTACTACAACAACTATTCCTCTTCTCAACATGGACTGCGTGTTCCCATGGGCGGGGTTTATGTAAATAGGAGGAATGTCATGTAGTCCCTACCAGCCGTTTGTTGTAGTCCTTAAAAAGTAATTTCTATAAAAGGAAGTATCTCCCTTTGCTTTGAACTTTGAGTGTCGTAACTTTACAGATGTTGTATATGTTCAAACAGCAACATTACATACTAACTAAAGTCAGAAAAGTGAAATCATAATTAACCACCCCTTTAATACTGACCCCAGACATTTGAACGATAGTCTAGATGTATATAATTCAATTCCTGCTGCTTTTTTTGAGTCTCACCCAATTCCCGAGCAGAGTCTGAAGAAGATAAAGAAGCCGTAGCCCTGTGCGAAAGAAGACAGGAAGGAGAAGATGCAGTTGATAGCCAGTGCGTAGAGTAAACACTGTCTTCTGCCCAGTTTATCAGCCAGACCCCCCCACACGACAGCGCCGATCATCATGCCCACGTACACTATTAAACCTGAACATAGAGACAAAGTTAGAAGCTGAGGAAGAATAACAGCTGCACATCATAGAAAAACTATCTGCTACTTCAGCAATATTTCAAAAATACATATTGCAGGCAACAGTTTCCAGCAGAATGATGCAGTAGGTCATTTACAAATATCATGTTGTTAATTCAAATCATTAGCAAGTTCATGCTTTATAAACACTCAGTCCTCACTCCTCATTCACTTTCATTATAGTGAAAAGGTCCCCCGGATATTCTTCAGTGTGTGTGTGTCCCGCAAAATAAAGGTCATTTGGCCTAAATTTTTTCTTGTTCAAGAAGCTATTTCACTTGGATATTTCACTTGCAACTTCAGTTTCATGTTGACTTTAAGAAATAGTATTTATTAGTTTTGAGAAATTAAGTGGATCATTTTTAACAGAAGTATCAGAATATCACACAACATTCCGTCTCTGTCTCTCTTGCCTTCATCAATGCTCTGCTACACACACACACACACATTCCCAAACAGATAATTCGACTGGGATAAGTGATTATCAGGCACGTGGCAGGGATTATGAACCTCGACGTGGATTACACACCACTCTAGACGGCGGCAACTTTCATCCCTCACTGAAACTTTTCCTGCTTCTCCCTCACTATTGCACGTAATCTAGGAAATATTCTCATGTAACCTGTGCTCTCACTCTGTCACAGGGCTATTTAAAAAAAAATGTTTTCAATATTTGTTCAGAATCAATAAATATGCACTATTATTAAAATGTTTAGGCTCGTTGAGATTTCTAAATGTTTTTGTCTCATTTTGTATTGCATTATATCTTTCATGCTCAAGTCGTTTATGCTCAAGGCTGCATATATTTAATAAAAGAATACAGTAAAGACAGTATTTTTTTTAAAATAGTACCACAATTTAAAAAGAAATGTTTTCTATTTGAATATATTTTAAAATGTAATGTATTCCTGTAATGTATGTAAAGCTGAATTTATCATCATCATTAGTCCAGTCTTCAGTGTCACATGATCCTTCAGAAATCATTCTGATTCGCTGCTCAAGAAACATTTCTCGTTATCAATGTTGAAAACAGTTAATATTTTTGTGGAAACTGCATTTTACTGAAGCATTTTTTTCAGGACTATTTGATGAATGGAAATTGTAAAAGAACAGCAATTGTTTAAACATTATTAATGTCTTTACTGTCACTTTTAATTAGTTTAATAATAGCTAGGATTAATTAAATAAATTAAAAGTGACATTAAAGACATTAATAATGCATATATATATATATATATATATATTAGGGCTGGGCAACGATTAATTGCATCCTAAATAAAAGTTTGTGTTTACATAATATATGTGTATGTAGTGTGTATAATTATTTTGTATATAAAAATTCACACACGTGCATGTATATATTTAAGAAACATGTGTTATTAATATATAAAATATTAATATTTATATTTAATATAAATTATGTATAAATATATATACACATTATATACATGCAAATATTTCTTAAATATTAAATGTGTGTGTATTTATATGTGCAAAATAATTATGCACACTACATACACATATATTATGTAAGCACAAACTTTTATTTTGGATGTGATTAATCACGATTAATCATTGCCCAGCCCTAATATATATATATATATATATATATATATATATATATACACACACACACATATATATATATATATATATATATATATATATATATATTGACAAAAATAATATGATATATTTCATTAATAAGAAATAACAGGAAAATGATTCATAATAGCTTAATAATAATAATATAAAATATTATTGAAATGTAATAAGAAATTAAATGGACAAAATAGAAATAGATTTTACTTTTTTAAAGGAGCTGTATGTAAGAAATTTATTTCAAATAATCATAAAATGGCCCTGATATGTCACTAGACATTAAGAAATCATGTTCATTTTAAATACTTATTTCACTGATAATGAGGATACTTATTTCACTGATAATAATTCACTGAAAATACTTATTTCACTGATAATAACAGTAGTTCAACCAGGATATTGTCATTTAAAAAGTGAAGTTGCTGCCCTCAACTGTCATGTTGTGTTTTGGTCTGATGCTCCACCCTCCACCGATCTACCAATCACGAAGTCAGTAGTGTTGCCAGCACTGCTCTAGTTACCACAGCTGCAGATACAAACGTGTGGGATAAATAAATGTTGGATCCTGCAGCCTATCTGGCAACCTCGAGTCAGGGGGGAGGGGTAGGGGATACCCTACCACAATCTTACATACAGCTCCTTTAAATTATGCATGTATCAAGGTAAAAGGATTTAGGCCTAGATGTTGTTTTGACAAATATAAAACTCTCTGGGACATCTAGGAAGATCATTTATATTCGCCATTATATTTTCCCAGCCCAAATATAAAAACAGGTAACTTCACATTTAGTTTTTAATTCTGAAAACTTTGCGTTGAGCCACATTAAAAATGGTGTAATTCTTTGACAGGGCCTTTCTTATAAACAAAGTGATCAGAAATTCAGCTTATTCTGATCCCGACTCCTTGACTCACCCAGCATGCCCTTGTCAGCATTCGACAGGCACATGTCCTTCTCAGCACTGGGCAGGGCGAAACTCACAACGAAGCACTCCACGCCGTCAGCCATCAGGGCCAGACCCAGCACGGTGAAGAGGGTCCACTGGAAGCGTCCGTGCCCGCAGTCTTCCATGATGCTCTCGTACTGCTCTGGCAACGATTCCTCAACGACCTCAGCTGCCATCCTGGCCTTCGCACGGGCCTCCCTCCGCGCGGCTCTCCGTGCCTCCTTGATCTCGTCCGGATGAGGGATGCCTTGGTACTCTCCCTCATACATCTGCTCATCTTCATCATGCCCCTCGGTGGCATCACTAGCAGCATCATCCTCCTCCCGAGGAGGGAAGTCCGTCTGATAAGGGTAAGTGTACTCTCCTCCTTCTCCATATGTGGGATACGTTTCTCCCGGCTGGTTTATGTTGTTTTGGTAAGGGTCATCCATTTTGGCTTGAATTTGATATATGTATTATTGGAGACAAAAATAGCTAAATGAACATAATCCTCTAAAATCACTTGGAGACGGTTCCAAAATCTTCCAAAAGATTAAAAATATAAATTGCCCCTCAGTTAAGGTAAGGCCTCAATATTTATGACATCAACAAGCTATTTCCCTTTGGTTGGTTCTACACAAGGCCACATGCTGCACCTGAAATAAAAAGAAGATTAGTTAGAAAAAGTAAAAAAAAAAGTTTTACATGAATGAAAATGAGGCTGAGAGGTAATGAAATTGCATTGATAAAAAAATAAAACAACAAAAAATCTTACAAAAGGTGTTTAGACGTTTTTGTATGTGGGTTGAAGAAGTGTACTCACAGTACTCATAAAAGAGTAGGCAAAAAGTACCCAGATGACCTACTACCTCAGGCGAGATTGTAAAGTGTGCATACTATGGATACTTTACTATCCCATGTGGCAACAGGAGAGGATTAATGGTAGTGAGTGACACAACTGATGCTGGTAGGTCACATGATAATGACAACATGGCATTCATACTACACACACTCATACAATAGGTTATAGTAGAACAAACTTTTAGTTAACTTTTATTCAACACAAGTACCTAGTCAAGAGAGTATCCAATTTGGACGCAGCCACAGTCATTCATATGGGAATTGGGAATTGTATGTTTGATTCACTGAAAAGAACCGACTCATTAGTCATTCGTCTGAGAATCAAAATACACTTGTCGCCTGTGTGTTGATTCTTTAAAAAAGAACCGACTTTAGTCATTTGTTTTGGAATCAGACTACGGTGTCCGTGCTGTATGATTCACTGAATCAGCTCATTAGAGTCATTTATTCTGTAATTGGACTTCACTATTCGAATTGTTACTTTCGTTCTGTTGATTCAGAAGTGAAGTATGGGGCCATTTACAGAGAATGCAATTTTTCCAATTCACTGCGCTACTTTTTCATTGTTTTTCAACTTAAACGCGCTAGACGGGCGTCTTTTAAGAGTGTTTGCTCATCTAAAATACGTCTATAGGACGTTTCCTGTCAGATGTCAAATAGACGTTTAGAAGATGTCTTTAAGATGTAATGATTTAGAATGCATGTTAAACTGAGATCTTCTAAACGTCTATTTGACATCTGACAGGAAACGTCCTATAGATGTATTGCAGATGAGCAAACACTCTTAAAAATACGTCTTCCAGATGTAAATATCACATCAAATAGACTAATGCTATCTGGGACATTTTTTTGGCCCAGGTAATTCGGTCCATCGGTTCACAGAACAAACTGCACGTCGGTCCCTTACAGCCTCGTTTCCATTCATGAAAAACAAATATGGCGTCTACCCCCGACTAAGCTCAAATTACAATAGTTAGGCTATCAAATGCAAAACAAATGCACTATGATCACATAGAGGAGTAAAATAAAGTGACATACAATATACGTCATATAAAAAAAATGTGTTTTATAGAGGTTATCAGAAACGGTGAATTGCTTACCGTTCAAAATGAAAACAAGAAATTGGAGACTTTGTGGTTGTCAAACATTGACTTGAGTGTCCAAATACTTTTTGGTGCCACTTTAGCAAACATATATTAACGTGTATGTGCCGTCAATAACTTTTTTTTCTGTAAATGAGAAACTGTAACTTCCTCTTGTCTCGTGCTGCCATTACAGTGTGTAATACAAGATGATGATAATACTAGTCAAGACCAGACCTCATTATAAGCCCCTACTTATCCAGCCCAAGCCATTTGATCTGTCCAGACGCAAGACATCCTGCTTACTACATGCCTGTAAATTAAAGTACTAATGTATTTGAGCATGTCATATACTGATATTGTGAATGTGCAAATAAAGGAGCTTTAATGAGCATGCACACATGTTCCTGCGTGTGTCTGTCTAGCAATGGACCAAAATGTGACACTGTGCAAAATGTATAATATACAACAAAGATGGAAAGCTTTTCTTGTGCCCGGACATGTGCCATATTTTCTCCTGCTTTCCAAGTGAGAGCTATGATATAATCCAGCTTAAAACCAGACGAATTTTATTCATTCCCAGAAGGCCAGATTATATTTGGAGGGTGATGAACACCCACTTTTGGATGAAATAATCAAAATTTTAGGAGTATAATAAATATCAAGATCAATCAAGAGCAATAAATAGCAGATAATATTACTGTAATAGAAACTGTAAAAATTGTAAAAATAAAAATGTTTGCAAAGAAAATGTATGCTTTTAATTTTTATTTCATTAATTACAACCCGTGCATCCCGAAACACCGACAATTGTCCCTTGCCCAAACATTAAAATCAGTTGAAAAGAGATTACTGAGTGAATCCATTTACATTCACTGAGTATCCTGCCTCGGCCTGGTCATCGTGATCTGACGGTCCCAGATGGGCATTACGTAACTTCAGACATGTACTGTGACCAAATAAGCTACAAATGCTCTAGCGACTGCTTAAGTCTCCATTTTCATGCATGTTCTATTGTTTCCTTGTGAATATAGAACTGGTATGCACGGTGCACACGCATGTACTTTACATGTCCTGGCACAATATTGAAGTGATTAAGCAGTGACATTAGTTACCTTCACTGTGACATGCTATTCTTCTAAAACTACTACTAATAATATATACAAAAACGTCACATTTTATTTAAAGTATGGCAACATTACAGTAGATTATGCTCTGATGTCCGAAAGCTAAACTGAAAGTGTTTTTATAGAATGTTCACGCTTAAATTCATTGGTGACATCCTCTCCGTCAGGCGATATATGGCTGAGTGTGCACATGGTGTGGGCGGGTCTTTAGTGATGTCACAGGGAGGAGACGCCAGCTAATGGAGGGCAAGCCTGAAGGGCATGCATGTCACCTGTAAAACTACAGAAAAGCCTCTGGACAATGACAATTATGCCTTTATTTTTGTACCAACATACTTTCTAAATAATCATTTGGATATGTTTGGACATTTAATTTGTTTGTGGTCATTATTTTTACAGGTCAATACTATTTAAACTTAAGTTTACTTATTTTCTAGATACATGAATACTAAAATCACTCTAAACTTTTACATTTGGACCATATTTCTTATTTTCTTTTAGAAAATTACTAAACGTTATAATATACCAGACTGCAGTTTCTCTTAACTTAACATGTAGGGGAAATATACATATTTTTCAGTAGTTATTTTCTTTTCAGAGCTGTTGTCATTTTATTATTATAGCCTCATTGGAGGACACATAGGACCCAAAATGTCAATGGCTAAAAGTCAATAAACAATCTGTTGTACAAAACAAAAGGCAACATGTCATGATGTAGGGTGGAGCTTTTCCGACAGCTTTATAGATCTGAAAAATACCAGTACTTTTAAAGTGTAAATCTAATCTCCGTTTATGGTCATCATTTCACAGTTATGATCGAAACGGGTCAAATATTGTGATTTTTTTTGTGGCACTACAGACATTTAAAGTTGAAAGTAAAGCGTTCACCAAATGCAATCCTTTATCAGGTATAATTTAAAAGTAATGGCACTGAAAGCAGTTTTAAAATACCTTCACGTTCAAATGAAATTAAATGAAATTGACTTACCAGAATTTGTGTATTTTGGCGTACGATATAAATGAATAAAAAATCCAAAGGAAAATCCTGGCAGAGTTTCAGAAGGCAAGTCCTACATGTCACCTTAACAGGAGTCTGATGGGCAGACCAGGGGATTATGGGTCGACCTCATGATCAGCGCCTCCGGCTCATCCAGATGGAATCTCCCTACACTTGATGCTGCCAGACCAAATGGTAGAGTCCACATCCAGTTTAATGAAGACATGCTGCAACAATAGACCAAACCGGATGGGAATTCTGTTACAATGCATAATGATTTAACTTAGACATGCTTATGCTATTGATCCTAAATAATCACTGAGAAGATATTACTAAATGAGAAAAGATGGCCCCTGTTACATATGTTTTGATTATTCACAGATTAAATAGCCAAATTCTAGGTTTGATGGCCTTAAATGTTCTCTTTCCCCAAAGTGCAATGTCTTTAAAAACTCTTTTAGTGTAGTCAGCATGAAACAGAAGTTGCGATAGTCTTTTTTCCCCCCATTGTTACATATATCCCAATGAAATGGCTTCTCGAACCATAAAACGATGTATGTAGGATGGTTGTGGCTGTGGTTTGCTATTGGTCGAGTATGGTGAGTGACAGGTCGTCCTGCCCTCTCTCTAGTAAATATCATGTTTTTAAAGTGGGAGGGGGAAGTTATTCTGGTTAAAGATCATGAAGGCACATGGGTTTAAATAATGATGTGCATAGATTTATAATAAATACCGCAAATTCCATAAAAAATGTGTTTTCAGGACACACAGAAGCATGCTGACATTTCCTTCTCTAACTGACCTCAACAATACATTACGGCTTAACTAGATGAAGTAAAATGCTAGTTTCCGGCTACGCACGGAGTTAGTTTGTACGGCCTGCTATGGAACGGTATTATAGTGGGTAGATGTCTTGCACACATAAAGCTGCCTAATCCCACAGCCAGTAATTCTGCTGCAAAGAGGATTAGCTCCACCCCAACAGAACCATTGGCTATTTTTAGATCACATCCCTGCAAACAAGCCTGCACTGGCCCTGTCCGGGCCCACTTAGGGCTAGCCTAAGGGCCCCCTGCAGGCTGCTAGCGCAGGGCCCATGAGAATTTGCTCATTGGCAAAACGTTGGGCCTGCATGGGCAGCCCTCACTTAGCCCTCACTAAACCCACACAGGGCCCGCACACTGGGCCCACAAAACGTTGGCCCTGCATGGGCAGCCCTCACTTAGCCGCAAGGAAGCCCTCACTAAGCCCACACAGGGCCCGCACCGCACACACAGGGCATCTACAACAATAGATCTAGTTCACAATTAATCTGTTTCACTATAAATACTTTTTGGCTAATATAACTATAAGTCTTTGGGAAAAACAATTATTCTATACATCTGAATGCAGTCACCACATAACTAATTTCTGTATTTTCACAAATGTACAGAAGTCAAAGGGATTTCAAATCAATGTATTTATTAATTACAAAACATAAAACATTAAATTCAGGTTATTATATATAATATAATTACACTATTATAAATTCACATAAAAAACAGAAACATAGAAAACAGCTGTTTTACATTATGATAAAATTTCACAATATTACTGTTTTTTTTAAATAAATGCAAGCTTAATAAGCAGAATAGACTTCTTCCTAAATGTTTTCAAATTTTTTACCTGTATACTGTATATGATTTTATACAAAATAAATAGTAGTTAATAAGATTGACACTGTATTATATCTAGTAATATTGAAGCTAAACAGAGTCCCTATAACAGTGCAATTTGTAGATTTTTAGTCTTCGAGAAAATGTTTTATGAGTTGCAAACCTCTTTTTCTTTGCTTTCTCTCTCTCACAAACACAACACATCAGTTACACAAAACATCAGTTAAATTCTTCATTGCAGGTGCACAAATCCTATTCTAAAAATTACCAAACTCATAGGGTCATATTTTTGTTGATAAACAGTAACATTTTGGCCAATTATGCACATTTCTTGGTGTATAATTTTGTGAATCATCTATACTGTTTGGCTATTCTCATGTGGTCACACTTCACTTTTCATTCACAGTCACATATGCTCAAACCCCGTGTGGCCGTGCCTTAAATGTCAGCATACATTTCTTACAGGGATGTGCAAAAGTAAATTGCGATTAATCGCATTCAAAATGAAAGTCTGTGTTTACATAATATATTTGTGTGTGCTGTATATAATTATTTTGTATTAGGGCTGTGAAACGATTAATCGCGATTAATCGCATTCAAAATAAAAGTTTGTGTTCACATAAATTATATACGTTTGTGTAGTGTGTATAATTATTTTGTATATATAAATACACACACATGCATGTATATATTTAAGACATATTTGCATGTTTGTACTGTATATATGTTTATACAAAATTAATCTTATACATAAATATAAATCTTTGATATATCAATAACACATTTTTCTTAAATATATACATGCATATGTGTGTATTTATATATACAAAATAATTATACAGACATATATCATGTAAACACAAACTTTTATTTTTGATGCAATTAATCATTACACAGCCCTATATTGTATATATAAATACACACACATGCATGTATATATTTAAGAAAATGTGTTATTCATATATAAAATATTTATATTTATATAATATAGATTATGTATTCATATATATATATATATATATATATATATATACACAGAATTTAAGTGCAAATAATTCTTAAATATATACATGCATGCATAGGTATTTATATATACAAAATAATTATACAGCACACACAAATATATTATGTAAACACAGACTTTTATTTTGGATGCGATTAATTGCAATTAATTTTTGCACAGCCCTTTTTGTGATTTGAAAAAAAGAAAATTATTTGTACACCTCCAATGAAGAATTTGAAAAGCTGTAACTGCAGTGTTTTTTGTGAAAGAGAAAAAAGTTTGAAACTTAAAAAAAAAAAAAGTTCTCTCTGTGACTACTTTACACCTGACTACTTTTAACTGACTACGTTACACCTACAGATTCCACTGTCACAGGTGCTCTGTTTTGCTATAATGAAACCTTTACAGAACATGATCGTAATCCGCCATCCATGTAAAAGCAGAGGTCGGTGTGTTGTACAGGTACATCTGTCCAGCCAACATCTCACGCCTTGATGCCTTCCACTGTGGATCCCAGAAAACCTGCAAAAAAAAAAAAAAAAAAAAAAATACAGTTCAAAATCTATCATACATAATCATACATCTGGTATCACAAATTATTCCAGGTTATTATAACAATTCCAGGTTCAATCAGGTTAAATGCTCAATATTAGAGCTGCACAATACTAAAAACCTTAAATAAAATATTTTGTTTATCTGCTGCTATATATATTGTGATATAAAAACAAATTTCAAGAGATTATTGAGTGAATCTGTATTGAAAATTATAACAAATTACAAGTATTGATAAATTCAATAGAAGAAAAATACAATTGAAATAAGCAGTGCATGAAGTTTTTTCGGAAAATCTAACTTATCAGGTACGGAAATTGAATTATCTAATGTAAAATAAGTCTTCACTGAGGTACAGCCTCTCTCTACTCTTACAAAATGACAAACAACCAGCCTGAAAAACACATGACAATGACACAAGATAATGTCTATAATAAATAGTGTGTGTGTAATTTCTTCAGTACCGTCAGCAGAACCGATAACATCTGAGCTTATCGATACTGCAGTCTTCCTTAATTTGGCCCCAGGGCCCGTTTAATGTTTAATACCGGGTTTCGAAACCTATTCCTACGTATAGGTGAGTTCATATGGATGAAGGCCTGTTGTGTTTGGCCTCTTGGTTTGTGATGGTGATATAGCTATTGTGAAACTCACCTTCGTCATGTACTGGGTGTGGATGGCATCAAGATCTTGTCCTGAAGAATCACAGGATCAAATGATATCTCATCTGGTAACCCCCTGAATTCAGCATTTGAAAGTAAAAAGAATTTCAGTATTTATCAGTCAAACATACATAAAAAAAAAGCTTTGAGTTGGACAGTATGGTGTCTCATTGGCCAACATAATTAAAAACACACCCAGAGAAAAAATAAAATAAAAAAATAATATATATATATATATATATATATATATATATATATATATATATATATATATATATATCCATGACTATTATCCTGAATTATTATAACTATGACTATTATAACATTATATTTGCCACCTATTATTTAGCTTCTCAAGTACAATGTCACTGAAAATCATAAATCCTACAGACCCACAACAATTAAACAGTATGTATGAAGTTTTGCTTACTATAGTCGAGGTCATAGCCGTGGAGATTGTCTTGGACCCCAGGGGGTGCAGCAGGACATCTATGATGATCTTCAAGAAAATAACATGCAATGTGTCACAGAGCCAACAATATTACATTGAATTTACAATAGAACAAAGGGTTTAATACAAGGAAGCAAGCTAGAGCATAGCTAAAGAATATACATAAAAAATCTTAAGGTAATATATTGTGCAATAATGCATATGAAATTATTATCATGATTAAACAATAATTCCCCTTTGTTGTGTTTTTTTCCTGTTCCTTCTGAAATCACTTATTACCAATATTTGTAAATGACGTCATTAAGTACGTTACAATGAATTCTTTCAAGGTTAAATAAATTAACTTAGCTAACTTCCAATCACCCATTGACAAATTACCAGCAAAACAAAACTATCAAAAACTGTTATCAACACAAAAATGTGGTTAAAAACCCACACTTATGTAAAACAAGAGCTCAATTGTAACGTAAACAACTTAACGTTAGCTCTTCTGAAAACGGTTCAGTCAGATGCTAACGGACTTTATCGAAGACACAAAACTGTTTCTATAAAGTAAATATTCAACAGAAGTGTATCAATTACACGTAAGACATATATCAGGAAGGTTTGTATACTTATTTGTGTGATTTTGGTAACTAGACTTACCTGAAAGCAGAGAAAACAACAGTGAGAGACGCTAGTTTGCTGTTTGTCAGTTGATGGGTTTCCTCGTTTCCATGGTTTCCATCTGCTCGCGCGCGCTCCTGTCTTTGAATCAGATTTGAATGCGACTCGCGCACGTACGCCCATATTGAAACCATAGAACACGTCAAAAGGCACGCAGCATTTAAATAAACATCTAGAATTATAACATTTAACAATTTAAAATATCATTAA